TGTGTGTGTGTGTGTGTGTGTGTGTGTGTGTGTGTTTGTGTGTGTGTGTGTGTGTGTGAGCGTGTGTGAGAGAGAGAGAGAGAGAGAGAGAGAGAGAGAGAGAGAGAGAGAGAGGGAGAACAAGCGCGAATCAGAAGAAAGGCGAACTCGGTCACAGGTCGCGAGCTTGTTTACGCTGGCTTGTACGCAAACGCGCCTCAGCAACACGCCTCGGCGTGGACATTTCTCAAGGTCCTCCCTCTCGGAGGCTCTATCGTATGTTCTCTCGCACATGCCCACGTAACAGGCTACGGCAAAACAGGAAGAACTGTACGACGGGGGTGATTTCACACCTACTCTGTAAACCTGCATACGCTCAGGGAATCGGTATAAAGATGGTGTCAAAGCACACGTGCCTTCCTGTTTCCCTCTCTGCCAAAAAGCACACTTCCTTTTTCTTACTTCCGTTTTCTATTTCGGGATAAGTAATGTCGGGGGAACTTGGCGAATGTGAAATCCCAAGACTGCATAAGAATCTCTCGCTCCCCAGGTAGACATGTTTCACCTGCTTACGTGTCTTTGTCTATACCCTTGGCACGTGTCTTTGTCTATACCCTGGGCCATAGCTGTTTGTGCCTTTGGCTATGTCTTTGGCTATGCCTTTGGCTATGCCTTTGGCTATGGCTTAGGGCACGACCAGTTCCTTGTCTATAGAGTCATGTGACAAAGGTATCCGGTCACCGGTTCGAATCCCTGCAGGGAATCTGATGAAATTATTATTACTGGACATTCTATTGCACACAGAATGACATAATAAGCCTAGCCTAGTAGCCTGTACTTGGTGGAAAAAATGAAGGAGTAAAGACATTCTCAAACGTGAACGTCAACCAAGCTTTCATTTCCTTGGGTTATTTCACCTTGGAGTTGTAACCTTGGATGCATGGAGTTCGTGCCTTGGTTGTCTCGTCTCCACTTGTGCATGTTGTTGTGGTTAACATTCCCTCCTCCCTCTCCTCTGTGTATGTTGCTTCGCATCGGATTCCCCGCCTTTTCTTTCTTTCCACTTGTGTTCAACAGTTCAAGCCGTAGACCCTGAGTATATTGCACCCAGTGGGATTTGAACGCTTGATCTGCTTTTCGGTTTTACTTGTGTCACGGTGTGTTGACAATTCAGCCACGTGGGAGGTAATCCCCTCTTATGACACTCTCACGATCCCCCTCCTTCGTCTCTTGAATAATGATCTTTTTGTTTTTGTTTTTGTTTTTGTTTTCATGCTCTTTTTTTTTTTTTTTTTTGCTGCGCTTGTATTCACTCGTTTTTCCGCTCGTTGTGCGGTATCTCCTGTGCATGCTGAGGGTTCATTCATATCACTGGTTGTGGCGGTCGTTTGTCGTGCTCTAATGTATGTTTATGTTTGCGTTTGTGTGTGCATGGCATTGCAGGTATGGTCCCGACCGCCCCAAGTACCTGGGCCCGTTGTCCGGTGAGACTCCATCGTACTTGACTGGCGAGTTCCCCGGCGACTACGGCTGGGACACCGCTGGACTGTCCGCGGACCCCGAGACGTTCGCTCGCAACAGGGAGCTGGAGGTGATCCACGCCCGCTGGGCCATGCTCGGCGCGCTCGGCTGCCTCACTCCCGAGCTGTTGGCCARCARCGGCGTCAAGTTCGGCGAGGCTGTGTGGTTCAAGGCCGGCGCTCAGATCTTCKCCGAGGGTGGGCTGGACTACTTGGGCAACCCCAACCTCGTCCACGCTCAGAGCATCTTGGCCATCTGGGCCTGCCAGGTGGTGCTCATGGGCGCCGTGGAGGGCTACAGAGTGAACGGCGGGCCACTCGGAGAGGTGGTGGACCCCCTCTACCCGGGCGGCAGCTTCGACCCCTTGGGCTTGGCCGACGACCCCGATACCCTCGCTGAGCTCAAGGTTAAGGAGCTCAAGAATGGCCGCTTGGCCATGTTCTCCATGTTCGGCTTCTTCGTCCAGGCCATCGTCACCGGCAAAGGCCCGTTGGAGAACCTGAACGACCATCTGGCCGACCCGGTCGCCAACAACGCCTGGGCCTACGCCCAGAACTTCGTCCCTGGATCTTAGATCTATACAGTCTGTACAGGCTAGTCTACCACTAACATCATACTAACATCGCTGGATAGCTTTTAAATTAGTGTTAGCAACTCTTCCTCCCGTTCAGCAATCAGCCTCAGCATTGGAGTCATCAATTGTTGGAGCTGCTTTCTCAATACTTAGAGTCAGTGACAATACCGTGTGTATATAACACCTCACCACACCATCGGTCCGTAAATAACTGTATTTCAGTGTATTATGTCAACTTTGTGATTATCTCCTTGGTCTGCATGTTCAGACTTTTATTTTACTATGATTATAGCACGTTGTCGAGAATTCAGAACTTTTGAATCTGGGAACGATTGAGTAATTTGAGTTGGATACTCTGTTCCTAAATTCCGTCTATGCTCTCATGAGTCTCATCTTTTCTGCTCTCTTGGATGTGCACTGATATCTGCTGGACAAATATGCAATTGTGCAATCGTGCAATGACGGTGTGCAACGAAATGAGGTGATGCATGTTGGAGCTGTCAGACATGTCGCCTCCCCCTGGCCTGGTGTCTACTACTGCAGGGATATATACATGTGTATATATATATATATATATATACAGTGTAATCAGTGAGGGGATTCTGCAGACTATTGAGGGTTCAGCCTCCTGATGAGTCGGTGAAACTCCGACGAAACAGTTTGTCACAGCCCCTCGTTTGTTGTCCTCTTCTCTCTCTCTGCCTACGGTTTACCGGGCAGTTCTGTTTGTGACGATATATATATATATATA